ACCACATATTCTCCATCAAAACTTGGGTTTAGGCAAGTTTCCATCTGTAAGAATTGTTGCTCGATATAATTCCTACAAAAGGCCAATTCATTTTCCCAAATGGTTACACGCGCAACATTTTCTACATACATACCTTTGGGGTTCTGACTAAACGAATACTACATTCAATCATCATTATGGTTATAAGCATCAATGTGTTGTGTAAGTGAGAGTCTATGCACGTGTGTCCATGTATGTGTGTCTGCTATAATGTAGCTCATTATGCAACTAATAAAATACTTTTTATATGTAAATTTTATTCTACAGACCTACAGAGAGAAGGAGAAAAGAGAGATCTTATATCTGCTGTTCCCAAAATGGTTAGAATGGGCAGCGCTAGCGCACGCTGAAGCCAGGAGCGAGGGCTTTCTTCAGGTATCCCCCACGGCTGGCAGGCCCCCTAGCATTTGGACCATCTTCTGCTTCTCTGACCAGGCCGTTCACAAAGAGCTGTATAAGACAGATAGCAGCTGAAAGGTGAACAAGTGCCCCGATGGAATGCTTGCGGTATAGTCAACAGCTTTACCAGCCCTGCCACATGACAATCCCACAACTGCCGATACCTAAATTAAATACTTTGGCGATGGAGACAGCATCGTGGTACAGAGGGTTAAGTTTGTTGCTGTTTGTGACACCAGCATCCCACATCAGAGTACCAGCTTGAGTTCCAGCTGTTCTATTACAGCTTCCAGCACCGGCATGATCTCTAGGTATTCTATATTCCTGCTACTTCTTTAGAAAGACACAGTGCTAGGATTCATTAGAATACCACAGTTGTTCTCTTCTGAAAGGCTTACAACATGAATTTCCTCTATTAAACATACTGGCTTTTTGAAGGTAATATCCACAAAACTATGGTGGGACCACTGTATAAATTCCTACATGGGAACATTCTTTCAATATGAATGTATGAAAATCAATTATATTCTAAACGAACAGTATTTGCAACAATGATAACTATACAGATTAGTAGTTTCCACACGTGTTCTTTCTCAAAGTGAAAGAAAGTAAGAATTTTGGCTCAGTTAACCATTCTGGGTAGCACTTTTGTATGTGACTTTTTCTTTAGCCCTAGAACATATATTATTTACAATATTTTACTGTTCCATGAGTTATCTAAGAGTCTTTCTAGAAACAGCATAAGTGTAAATCCTACATTTTATTATAATTATATATTATGGTGCTATATACTATATAATGCATATTATACATTGTGGTATATTGAGGTTGTAATATATGATAAATATCATATATTAGATATATAAATTATACATATAGTACTTGAATAGAAAAGGAACATTTGAACTAGTCCTCATGGTATACTTCTTTTCCCAAGTCTACAAATATCAATATAAAGTTGATTAAAGTCTAATTAGCGTACCTGTATAAAGGAAGACTTGCCATTGTTGCATTTGTAGTAGAAATGGGTATTATTTGAGGACTGTGGGATTTCATTACCAGCGACCCATGTGAAGCCAAGTACTGTGTCAATAGCACGGTTGAAATCATAGAGTACACATAGATTTGCCACTTTTCGGTAACATAACCTGATAGATGCCTGTTTTCCAAGAAAATGCACTGGTGGGATTCTAGAGAATTACCAGGGACACGTGTAAGCAATCCCACTCATCCTATTTTCTCATGTCCTTTGGAGAGGAAATGCTACTCCACATAGAAGTCAGTTTTATTATATTACTCCATAAAATGCTGACTGTCACCTGCAATCATTTCAAACAATGCATATGCATCTGCTTCAATAAAAACAAACACCGGCGCATGGAATAAGCATTTAGCTCAGCTTCTTGCCCTTGAAGACACTGGGAAACAGCAGTAATGGCTGAAGCAATTGTGTTCTGACATACATCTGGGAGACAGGGACTTTCCTGGCTCCAGCTCATCCTTAACGGTTGTAAATAGATGGGAGTCTCTCTCTCTCTCTCTCTCTCTCTCTGTGTGTGTGTGTGTGTGTCTTTCTCTGCCTCTTCCCCTCTTTAAAACACCAAACATTACAAGACCAACACAGAAAGGCTTATTGTGAGCCATTTCCAAGGTACTTAATGATGTCTAGCTTTCATGAAGAGCAGATGTTGTTGTTATCTGTGAGTTAGAGATTTCGAGCTGTGTTCCTCTTCCGTGTGCCTTGGATTTCAGGATTCTATTCTAATACTAAGGTAAATTAAAAAGCAGCAAGTATACCAGAGCTATATAAATGACCTAATCATATAATATTTTGGTGAATGCCTCTGTTTATACAGAGGACTTTCATGGCTTCCCGCATCTTCCTCACATTTTTCTAAGACTCTTTTAGGTCTTATAGCCACTGATGGGCCACAGAGATGACCTGAGAATGGCAGGGGCACCTGAGCCTCAGGTGCAACTCTGCCTCAGTGGTCATTGCTCCCCTTTTCTGCATGCACTGACCTGCTCAACGTAAGTGGTCACAACTGGCTTGGCTTCCCATGGTTACAGCTATCAGGGAGCCCCCATGGAAAACGGAGTGTTCATGTTCTGAAATCTAGGGGACAGACTATCAAAGAAATAAAACCTGCATACTAGACTATATTATAATTATCATCCTGCAATATCATTGGAAATTGAATGGCTAGAATGGTGCTCATAGACTGATATGAGGTGACACCATTTTTATACAGCTGGAACAATATTTCCCTAAGGGGTAAATACTTGATACTGCCATTAAAGATGCCAGCGTCTCCTACAGGACTCTCTGAGTTCAGGTCCCAGCTCTGCCCTTCACATCAGCTTCCTGTTAATGCATAGATTGAGAGACACAGGCGACATAGGAAGCACTTGGATCTCCACTATGCAGGTGGAAGCTGAAGACTGAGGTACCCAGCTTCAGTCTAGCCCAACTCTGGCTGTTGTGCACATCTGAAGTGGGAAGTCTATTTCTATCTCTGTTTTTCTAACTTCCCTCTAAGTGGGGAAAAAATGCAGTTTAGGGGTTAATGCTGTTGTATAGCAAATTAAGCCACCATCTGCAATGCTGCCCTCCCATATGGGGACTGGTTTATGTTCCGGCTGCTTCACTTCTGATCTTCGCTCCTGCTTATGAATGGGAAGAAGCCACAGAAGACAGCTGAAGTACCTGAGTTTCTGTCATACACTTTACAGAACTTGAAGAAGCGCCTGGCTCTCGGCTTAGGCCCGTTCAGCCATCTGGGGAGTGAACAAATGGATGGGAGTGGAAGATGCCCTCTCTTTGTGTGTATCTGTAGGGGGCTTGGGGGGGAGGGTGTACATGTCTTCCTCTCTTTCTATAAGTGTGGCTTTCAAACAATCGTCTTTAAAAAAATACAGTTTATGGGACCAGCATGATAGCCTAGTGGCTAAAGTCCTTGCCTTGCATGCATGTCCTGGGATCCCATATGTACACCGGTTCTAATCCCGGCAGCCCTGCTTCCCATCCAGCTCCCTGCTGTGGCTTGGGAAAGCAGCTGAAGATGACCCAAAATCTTGAGTCCCTGCATCCATGTAGGAGACCCGGAAGAGGCTCCTGGCTCCTGGCTTTGGATCGGCTCAGCTCTGGCTGTTGCAGCAACTTGAGGAGTGAATCAATGAATGGAAGATCTTCCTCTCTGTCTCTCCTCCTCCTATCTGTATATCTGGCTTTCCAATAAAAACAAATAAATCTTAAAAAAAATAATAAAAACACACTTTACAAAAATATAAAGGAAAAGCAAAAATAAGATCATATTTTTAAAATTTGCCCTTGGGCCATGTACCTTGGTTGCATTCCTAAATATACGCTCATAGTTTTACAAAGTTTTATCAAGGGGCTTTCTCTATTGTATCTTTCATTTTCTTTTAATATATATTTCCACAAGGAAGATTTCTAAAAATACATTATAAAAAGTTATACCATGAATTAATATGTACCCTTTGGACTAATGCTGAAACTGCAGAACTCATCATGATCCTCTTTAACTTAGATTTTTACAAAGCTCAATGGATTTAACAATCATGAGTCAAAATCTTCTAATTGCAGTCTTCCTGTTATCTCCATTTCAGTCATTGAATTTGTTTTCATGTTTTCTATAGCACATGTTTATTGAAAGTATTAGAAATCTTTCAGAAAGTTTAAAGAATATTTTCCCAAGTGAAACGAGAATGCAATATTTTTCTTGAAAATTTATATATATTTTTTTGGTGCAAATTCTGTCTACTCAACACAACGATGAAAACTTTTGTGCCAGAAAATCATGCAGTGAGATGTGGGTATACCGAAACAAATTGGCATCAACTGTTTCACAAAAACATAATCTATAAACTGCAGTAAGATTTAAAAAGCCTGGTTTTGTTCAAGATTGATTGGTATATATTTTGATTCAACATACATTCCTTTGGCCAAGCTTCATTTAATTTCATATTTGGCTTTATGAATAGTTTTCAAAAGACATAATGAAGAAAACATTCAGAAAGCAAAAGCATATCAAATCAAGTAGTGCAGAATCACCATGCAAGCAATACGCTATGTCTCAAGGCAGAGAGAAACACATCTTTATCATTAAACAATATCACTATTGGTTAGCGCTTTGATGCCTGATGGTTTTCTCTCTCTTGTTGATAAGCAACATTAGATAGACTGTGAGTAATAATGTGCAGTAACTACATATTTAGTGCCACTTACATATCTTAACAAAGAATATCCAACATAGAAATTATATATATTACATGATATATATTATATAACATCACACACACACACACACACACACACACACACACACACACTTTTAAATAACTAGGAAGAATGGAAACAGCAAGGGGTAAATATGAAAGCTTACCGTGGCCGTTGAGTCAGGAAGAGAACCACGTCTCTGAGTTCAATTCCAGTGGTCTAGGCACTGGTCTGTTCAAATCCTGTGCAAAACATCCACATACAATACAAATTCCTATACCCCATTCCTATCAAGTGGTTGGCAAAAGAAACATGGCATTACCTTTCCCACATACTGAGGTTCGGAGCCCATGTATTCTTCCAGCACAAAAAACTGATTCCATACCCAGCCACGTTTAACGCGTTGAAAATGTAATTGTCGTCCTGGAAGGCGGATAACATTTTCTGTGGTCAAAGTCTTCTGTGGTTGTGGCTGAAGCGGTGTTAGGAGACCTCCATCAAACAGAACCCAGAGAAGCAGGGATAAACAGTTCCTTGTAAGCATTGGCAAAGGCTTTCCTACACAGAATAATAAAACTCCAGCACTTAAGGCAGACGTATGGAATCCAGGTTTGAGGTGTCTGTGGGCTTAACCACCAAGCTTTCGTTTTATTGAAGAAATGGCCACATAGGCATTAATCCTTCTGATATTGCTGCTGTGTTATATTCCATCTAAATAGACCTAAAAAACAAATTAACAAAATACACTAAATCAATAAAATTGACCACTTATGATATCTGTCAGCATTTAGAAACGCAAAGCTGAACAATTTTTAAATAATTACATTGCTATATGGTCACAATTTAGCTTCTTAGTTTTAACGGATTAGCCAAGTCTTTAGCCTTGAAAAAAGTACTTAGCTACAATAAAATAAAAGGTTAATTATAAACCAAGGCCATCTTTTCCCACAATGTAATAGTTTTGAAAAACAGATTATTTTAAAGTACACAATTAAATGAAAATTACATGACGTGACTAGATCTTCACAGACATTTTGGAATGGAAAATTAATTGTTTTTGGAACATATTTTCAGTGTGATGAGAACTTTAGCCACATGTCTTAGCCCCACCCAAATGATGACAGCAGCTCTCTCTCATAGCCAGGTGTAGCTACTGAACACATGCTCTGAGATCAGGAAACGCAACCAAGATTCACAGCCACAGACTTAGAGAGTAGTAGAGAGATGAAATAAAATATTTTTAAAACAATTAAAAATACCAATTCCTGACGTTAGAGAAAACAAAGCATCAGATACTCCAGGCAAGAAGATAAATTACTAAATGCAAATTAAACATTTTTTAAAATTAAACTGAAATTGGTTGATAAAATATCAGATGTCTAGAATTTAAATTAGCTTTTATTACTACCAGATGTACAGCCTCTACTATGGACCTGTGTAAAATTTGCTTTTTCCTCATAATAAATATTTTTAAAAATATGTATTTTTTGGGTTAAAATGTATGTAGTGGGAAGCATTTCTATTTTTGATCACAGTAATGTTTTTACTGTGAGATGACAAACAAATTGTGAAAAAAAATACGCTCTGCAAAATTCTTATTGAAATTGCATGATTTGGTGCTGACACTGTGGCCTCATTGGTGGAGCCACCAACTGTGATGCCAGTTAACTCATAAAAGAACTGATTCTTGTCCCACCTGCTCTGCTTCTGACCCAGCTGCCCGCTAATGGGCTGGCAAGGGCAATGGGAAGATGACACACCCACAAGGCCATGCGGAGGGAGCCCCTGACTGTTTGGGCCTGGCTCAGTGTGGCCCGTTGTAGCCATCTGGAAAGTGAACTACTATAGGGAGATTAGAATGACGGCTAAAATAGCTCCTGCCACTACTAGATACCTTCCCCTCACCATGGTACTCCACTCCGAAGGAGAAAGCAGATGATCATATGACTACATCACTGATAAGAAGGCAGGGAATGACAAGAACTGAGCAAACAAAAATAAATTATACAGGCACTGTTAAATTCACGAATGCCATATTAATAATTCTGGATTATAATATGTGCAGTAAGACTATGTGCTATTATTTAAAATAATAATGAATTAGCTAATAAAAAGATGGACTTTGAAACAAGACACATCTGAACTATCATTGTAAATGAAGTCATGACATAGTTTAGTACAAGGAACAATCACTAAATAGGCTTTAAATATTCAGACAAAATCACGGCCTTAAAAATAAACATTTTAATGTCATCCATCAATTAATACACCTGTGCAAATGCATTTAATAACATATATATATATATATCACTGTTTTATAATCTTAAAACCCATGACAATGTCCATAACACTACAGGCCTTTGGTGAAAAATGGATTTGACATTATCTCATGCCATGACAGCAATCCCAGCAGATCCCAGCCTCTGGTCAGGGCTGTTAGCCTGGAAGCTTTAAAGTGTTGCATCACCACAAAAATAATGCAAGGATACTGAAGAAGTCCAGTTCTTAAGTGAAAAGGAAACAAGTCCTCCAAGAGTGTAACACAAGCCAAATTACGGGGAAAGACCATACTGAGCCATTAGCGTGCTTACACTTGCCCCAGCACCAATACTGACTTTCTAAAAGTAAGAGTGGCAAACTTGCTTTGAGGTGCCAGCACCCTATGCAAACCTGCGGACCTTAAAGAAGACATATGTGTTACAAAGCACATCACTAGAGTGGGTTTTATTCCACACAGCAGATTGCAGTCATAGTGTTTAAAAATTTATGCCTGTCTATTTTTCCAAATCTTTCTGAGAGCCCAAGCGGCTTTTCCAAAAACTTCTGAAATCCAATGATAAGTCTCAGGACCCAAATGTTTCTTTTACTTGAAAGCAACTTTTATTTTAATGGTCACACTTAAATAGTCTTTTATCAAGTGGATATTACAAAATACCCACTCAGAATAAGTGTGTCCCTGAAGCTGAGAAACACAAAAGCTGTGGTTTCTATTTTTAATGTGGGGTGCACTTTTCAGTGTAACTCCAAATTTGGCCCAACATCATATAAATCACAAGGAAAAGGCTGTTCGTCCTATGGAGACTTACTAACCGTACAAGCATGTCAATTACTGCAAAAGGGTTCCCTGTTACGGCAGCGTTCTAAGCCTACCTGTTCACTGAATGACTCTTGGATGGTGAGCAGTCCTGTGGTGTGTACTATGTTACTATGCACAAACTGATTTTCAAGGGCACTTCTTACGACTTTTTGTTGTTGTTGTAGTTAAATATTTACAATTCTCACTATGCATCCTTGTGAATAAATGTTCGTGTATATCAGTAATTGAAAGTATTTCCCACTTAAGTAATATCAGCAGAGACTTTTTCTTATTAAGAAAGAGAAATAACAATGCATGATTTATGCATTCCCACAATTATGTTAGTATTAAATTATTAACATTTTTGACCTAAACAATAAACTTTGCATTTTTTCTATTCTTTTTCTCCACATTGAAAACAAATTTTAAAATACAATCTTTTTCAAATTAAATTATCTGCTTCACATTATTTTAAATATACTATAATAATAAACATTTTAAAATTACAAGCACACATGATCATTCAAAAACAAGATTTCTAGAAAAACCATGAAGAGCTATTCAGATCTTTACTTAAAAACGAAAAGAGTTCTTAGAATGTCTACGGATAAACAGCCTAGAGAGCCCTCTCTGGCTTCCAGTTCCAAAGAAGGCTTATCCCCTTTGGGTAGGAAAACCATAACCTTGAACTTTCTATTTTGTGTACTGACCACTGAGAAGTGAAGACCAAAAACCAATCTTTGCTATCTCTTAATTAATGAAACAGCAACATCTTTAGGTGATATTTGTTCGATAACAACAATTTATTTGGGTTCATTGAACTTTGATCTCTGAGTCTGTATCTTTTTTTCTCCACATCCTTTTTTTTTTTAAGACTTATTTATTTTTATTGGAAAGATTTGCAGGCAGAAGGACAGACAGAGATAAACGTCTTCTGACCACTAATTCCTTCTCTAAGTGACCTTAATGGCCGGAGCTAAGTCAATCTGAACCCAGGAGCCAGGAGCTTCTTCCAGGTCTCCCACAAGGCCGCAGGGTCCCAAGGCTTGGTTCATCCTCGACTACTTTTTCAAGCCTCAAGCAGGGAGCTGAATGGAAAGTGGGGCAGCCAGGACATGAACTGGCATCCATATGGGATACTGGCAGTTGCAAGGCAAGAATTTAGCTGCTAGGCTACCATGATGGGCTCTGACGTCACCATATCTTACAGTCTATTTCACAATCAGGTTATTGATATCATTTGGCTGCACAATATCAATTGCTTGTACTGCTACATGAATAATATTGGCTGTGACTGCTACGTGCCAAGAAAAAAATATTATGGCAAAACAAAAACAAGAGAAACTCAAAAGGAACAAAAGCCATCTCCTTGATGACAAGAAGGGACTCTTTTTAGAACGAAAACCAGCCAATCGTTTGCTTCTGTGGTATGACTTCTTATTGCATTTTTCACACAGCCTTGGGCCTTTTGCTCTGTGCTCTTCCTCTGTAAAACTAATTACTGCAGTCTAATCAGGACCAATGTCGTATGAGTGACCTACTAGAAAATACTTAACCAAGTCCTCCAAAGCTATGACTATCATCACATATAACTACAATCTTAGCAACTGTCACACACAGCGACTTGAGGAGACGTGACAACTAAATGCAGTGAGTAGCATCCTGAGGTAGAAAATGTGCCTGCAGTGGCAAAACAGGTTGACCCAGCTTGTGAATCCAGCACCCCACGGTAAAGGTTGGCGTCCTGGCTAGTCTATCACTGTCAATCCGGCTTCCTGGCAACGTGCCTAGAAGTCTGTGAGTGACAGGCCAAGTGCTCAGGTTTTGGCAACCCAAGTGGGAGACCCTGAAGGAGTGCCCAGCTTCTGGACTATTAGAGTGAAAGCAAGAAGTAAACTGTTACACAGAGGCTTTGCACACCACACACAAAGGTGGTGCACTCACTCTGTCCTTCAGAACTTTGAGAAAGAGATATGAACCCAGCCCACAGCTTATCTAGGAGACTGTCTTGTGCAATTCCTTACAACACCTGTTAGAATATGAATGGGCTTAAAGCCCTTGGATTACAAGAATAGATTCCATGCTATCTTTACAGGAAATCATAAAGATTTGAAGAATGGCAGAACTCAGTGTAGTGAGTGGTTTTAGCCACCAGAATCCCAGAGGCACTGAATCTATAATGAAAACGAAGCTGAATATAGTACAAACTGATTTCTCAGAGGGTGTTCATAGGAGTGGGTAATGGCCTATGACCATAATCACTGTGAGAGGGCTGTGTGGCATTTGGGTGGGTAGGAAAATAAAGAAGGAAAGAAAAATGAAGTCAGACTTTGGAGATAGATTTTAATTTGGAGCGTATATAAACAGGCAGCAGGGTGTCTCGGGGCAGCCTCGCACATACCAGGATTGATTTCAAGCACACACCTGAGGCTCGAGAGATATCAATATGAATTTTTAAAAACAAGACTGTATGTGTCTGTATTGATATATTTATAATATTTAGTATATGTATTTGAAAGGAGAGACAGAGATTTCTAATCTATTTGTTTACTCTCCAAAGATCACAAGAACTAGAGTTCGGTCAGGTAGGAGCCAGAGGGCAAACTTTTACAGTATCATCTGCTGCCTGCATGGATGCTTCAGCA